CCCCCCCCCCCCCCCGGGGAAATAGCCCCCGGCACCCATTGAATAGGAGGCTGGGTGGACCCGAGAGCCGGTCTTGACGATACGGAGAAGTGAATATTCTTGACTCCAGTCGGACTCGAACTTTGACCCCTCGGTCATCCATCCAGTAGCCGAGTGCGCTATCCCGGTTTGGTAGCGCCCAATATTTGGCGTCAAGTTTAAGTTGGTTATTTAACGACGGTGTCAGTAAGGAGAATATATGGAATGTCCGAGAAAACGTGAACAGAAATTAAAGGCCGTTGTTGAGAAAATACACAGAGATAGGAGAGCACAGCTACTCAGAAAGCTTTTTCCCCACCTATCTCCACTTCACTGCACTTCGACCTGAGCTCCCTGTGTTGCTCGCACAATGTCCATCCTGTATTCAAACGCCCTGAAAGCGTTGCCACATAGTTGGGGTGGGATAACAGGATAATTATGAAATGAGGAGCATTTGACGGAAATAGAATGGCAGGGGAAAATCCACCCAGCACCATTCTGTCAGTCATAAGCACTACATAACTCAGCCTCGAACAGAACCCGGGCCGCCGCGGTGGGAAACCACCAACTAACCACCTGAGCTGTGGTAAGGTCCTATACAACGTCGGATAATTAGACACCGATAATTAATTGGAAAGGGTTTGCAAGCGACCGTGGCTTATTTAAGGAACTATCCTGGAATTTTTTTGAGGGATAAGGGAAAACCACGAAAAGCCTCTGCCGGGATGTCGGCTGTTGCAGCCGGGATTCGAAGACACCTTCTGAAGAGAAGACGCATTTCCGTTTGTGGCAACTTGCTCAGTCAATTCATATAACGTCATATAAATTCCATTTTGCTGCTGCAAACCGTCAACAAACTCAAATGTACTTAATGACAGTCCTGGCCTAATGGAGAAGCATAAAAGGCCATTTCACTACACAGTTTATCCGTAAAACTGGGTGGGATGGTGCTGTCAGTCTAGAAAGAACTACAGCTGATAGCAGTAGTACAGATTTATTTATACAGTGTCCCAGGAGGAAAGGCCAACATTGTCTGCCTGCCTGCCTATCTATAGATCTACAGCCCTTGTGGACCTTGGTCGTTTTCAGTTTCTTCATCTATACACAGTCGGTAGGACTCCTTGGACGAAGGATCAGTCCGTCTCAAGGCCGCTACCTACACAGAGAGCAGCTCAAACACAGAATAAATACACACACAGACATCCGTGCCTAGATTGGGATTAGAACCGACGATCACAACGTTTGAGTGGGCGAAGAAGGTTCATGCCTTAGACCGCGAGGCCGCTGTGATCGGCAATTACGAAGGCTACAGCAACAAAATATGACGGAGGGACTGCTACACTTGGACAAATGAAAACTCAGCTCTCACAGTGCTATGGTGGATGAAATGCTCAATCGAAATGGCTGACTTGGTTGTTACAGGAACCGCTGAGGCCGTGTGTCGCAGAGCAAGACGCAGGAGGAGGTGAATGAAGGTTTGGTACCAACCAGAAGAGACTGGCGACTGTTTTACATCAAGCCGCATTGTCACAAGGGCCCCAGCGTTAAGTGGCGTCATGGTACATCCTACTACAAAAGGTCAATTAAATAAATGCCCTCAGTAGCATAGCGTCCGTACCGCGTTTCACACACTTTATTAAACGGTTCAAACATATTACGAGGGGGACATGAATCAGACAGGCACGATAGCGTTAAGTCTCTATCCGCTAACAAACTGTCGGTTATGTGCGTGCATGTTGCCTAGGTTAAGGCCATGCGAGCGGTTTTTTTTTTTTGCCGTTCAAGTGCGGACGTGAAAAAAAGGAACATCAGGCCAAGTGATGAATTTTGCACGTCCGCGTTAGGTTCATTTCCTGCCATGGTAGAGATGAATATCGTAGAGTTCGTTTATCTGTACCTTTCACGTCCAAGGCAGAAAGAGGGGGCTCAATCCTTTCAGTTATGAAAGATTACAAAAATGGAAAATTTCATACACTTAAAACACAACTAAAGAGGTAGTGCGCTAAGGCACTATGCCACAAGCCGGAAGGACGCGGGTTCGATTCCCGATGAGGTCACTGGATTTTCCAGTTGACCTAATCCTTCTGGATGCACAATGGCCCTGGGGTCGACTCAGGCTCTAACAGAAGTGAGTACCAGGAATCTTCCTGGGGTTAAGGGGCGGTCAGCGCGTAAGACTGACAACCTCACCGCCATCTGTGAGCAGATTGTCTAGAAAATGTGGGAGCGTCGACGTCTCAGAAACCTATGGGCCTCCACGGCCTGTTACAAAGATAGCTTTACCTTTACCTTGAAGAGGTAACATGTCAGTCATTTCACTTATTAGCAATTTGCATTCTACTCATGTAGAATTCTCCGTTTAATATAAACTGTCCAAGCAGTCTATAAATTTGATAATTCGGAACAATGTACGCATGGGGCAGGCTAATGTGACGCTCGACCGAGAAAGATATCCATGCAAAGACATTACAATTTCTTTTTCATATAAGACTGACCTTGGAAACGAAAGACTGTTGCTGGTAGGCCACTGCTGGCTCCTGACTATCGAACAACAATGAAATCTGTCCGACCGGAAAGTGGGGTTCTCACATGCCACTGACATTGACTACGTTACCTTAGAAACAAAGCCGACTGTTGCTCGGGAGACCACTGTTTGCCCGCTGATTATACAAGCTACAGTCCATTCGCGGAGACGAGAGAGTCCTCGTAAACAAATGCACGGGGTGTCTCCTTCGCTCTTTGAATGAAATCATGCAGCGATCACGTGATGCGTGTTTCGTTGCAGAGGCGTCCAACGTTCACTCTTCAGTTGAATGCAGGTTAACGTGCGTCCGAATGCAGTGAGTACACTGAGTAAGTGCGCGCTTTGTCCACTCCTTGCTGTCGGCTGTGGCGACTCGGGGCTTGCTTTGTTTACGCTGACTGTCTCGTTTCCGCGAATGGACTATAAGACATGTATGCGTTGCCTAAGTATTTGCGCCCCTAATATGTGTACCGGTGTTATCCTGAAGATGCCGTCTATGCAGTTTAATTTAGGGCGAAACTTACTGAAATGTAATCACATTCGTTAAAGCGTTTTCGAGAAAACCGCCATTTTGTTTTCGGTCCTATATGAAGGGTCCCTGTTTTTGGAGTTAGAACACACATATTCATCGGACAGCGACCCATGAATGAAAAATAAAACCTTAAATATCTAATATGAAAACAGTCTCTAAATCTGTTCCGGCGCTAGAGAAAACCGAATTCACAGACAACATAGGGTCTATATGCACATGGACAGACGGCACTCATATTCAGCACGGCTGAAGACGCGTATATACCTAAAAATCATGCGATCGATTCTTGCGGCATGACAACACCTTCTCCTACACAATGCGTTTTGGCATCCATGGGCAGTGAAAACAAATTAATTCGTTACAGCGCCGACTTCGACTCCTTTCATCACATGATACTTTCTCATGAATACTGTGTAAGTAAGTAACCGCCTAATTTTAGAGTCGGAGTTACTTCACGACTGGCGGTTTACACGAATCAGTTCGCCTTTGCACCAAGCCTCTTGGGCCCACGACCAGTATTCTTTTCAACATAACACTTGTGGTTATTGTCCTTATGTACAAGTAACATCCTCTCTGTCGTGAGGATGGGTCTGTCGTTTACAATTGCTGCTGGCCGTAGCCAGTGCAGTCATTCTCGGGTCCGAGTCCCGCGGGACTCATGACTATATTTTACTGTCTCAGATTCGAGACTCCCTCACCCTGGAAGGTAAGGTTCCCGTATTTATACAGAGTGGCCCAGTTATACCCCTCAGGCACTGGGTTCCCTCTTGTCGCCTCCTGCGACTCGCGGAGCTATGGTGGAAGTATTCGAACCCGCATCCACACAGGGGCGCCTAATTATCTTCCAGTACAAACTGGGAATTTGAAAGGACGTGGACCGCATGCAAAACACCGGGCCAAAAAATTCTTCTGTTGTTCCCTGTGTATTCGTTGCCGCGGGAAAGTGTTTACAAAGCTGTTGCCTATCAACGGCGGTCTCTTTCGGTTTTCAGGCGTCACGTCACATTGCATGCAAAAGCTGGTTTGGGGCGACACACAAACAGAAAGTGAATTCATAAGCCTCCTTTTATATTTTCAAGATAAGGAAAGTATGAGAAAAACGCAGCTGAAATGGAGTAAAATGCGTTTAATTGCGGCAGACCTGGAGAACGCAACACAATTACGAAATCGTCCACCTGGCCACGCAAGTCACGTTCACGTCGGCGCATGAACCATAAAAATGAACCAGTGTGTTGCTTAGGCTTCGCAACTTCACTGGTGAAACAAAGCCAGCACGTAATGCTGGGAAATGCGAGTAAATGCTGTTCATTCTGACAATCATAAGAAATACAAGTACATAAATACACTTTGGACAAAATTCAGAACTATTTACCACGATCACGAGATAAGCAAAAATACAACAGCCGTTATTGAGTAACTGCTTCGAAAATAAGCATGTTTCCACGGCAAAAACTGGAAACGACAACAGAGGAACGGTGTTTTCTGTGCGGTCCATGCTGAGATGTTATAAGAAGGGCAGTTGGAGCATTGCGTTAGATGTGGGACAGTCGCCAGCCGGTAAGAAAGTGCTCAGCTCCATGAGTGAGTGAGCAAGTCAAAGTCAAAATTATGTTACGACCGACGGTCAGTGGGCAAGTCTCTCTTGAAGCAAAACACTCATCTGGGGCTCACGACCAGATCTTTATTACTATATGACAGTTGAAGGCTTGTTGATGTGGGACGCTCTGTCTGACGACAGGACGGGTCTGTCATTTGCCAGAGTCACAGCCAGCAGTAATAAGTCTGTTGTTAGTCTACTCCCAAGCTACAAAGAGACTCGCGTCATATAGCCTCGGGTCGGACCCCATAGAAAACACCGCTTCCTCTTGTCGAATAATGTCGTTAACTAGCAATGAGTTGTAGCACGGTCTATAGAAAACACAGCTCCTATTGTTGTGTGTTCGCTGGAACGTCTATACTAAGTCGTTGCCTAGCAGTCGGTATATACGTCACAATATATTACTCCGAACGTTCAAGCGCCTTAAACTGTCCTTGTAGGATAAGGTAAATAAGATAGGAATGACCTGATTTGCTAAGCCTGGACTGACAGAGGACTTGTATATATTACAAAGGAATAATTTGCAACATCACGCTACATGTGCGATACGTACACTTGACGAAAGGCCAAGCCTATTCATAAGAGACAAATCCATCCACTCGTTAGAAACGATGTTACGTAAGGTATATGACCGTAAGAGCTCAGTTTCAAAAAGAAAAAAGAAAGAAAGAAAAGAACTTGGTCGTGAGTTTCAAGAGGCCCGGCGCCAATATGTCTGCTGTAAGCCGCCAGTCGTGAAGTAAGGCCCCCCATACACACACAGTTTGGCCTTCCGATCGACCTTACAGGCAAAACTGTGACAGTTTACCCCCTCCCTTTGCTCCCCATACACGCGCAGATAAAGCGGCAGGCTTCATGCCACAATCACGTTCTTCCAGCCTATAATGTTGAGTCACACACGTCACGTGGTACGGTCCTGCAGGCAGAACTGACGGACTGACGGGTTTCCCACAGCCCAACAGTCCAAACGATTGGCCGGCCGGCCACACCACACACGTCAGTTTTGCCTTTCAGTCTTCAACTGTACAGGCAGAACTGGAGGCAAAACTGTGTGTGTATGGGGCCCCTAAGTCTCACTAACTCTGACAAGAAATATCACAGACACGGATTAATATTAGGGTTTGTATATCTAAATACGGGATCGCCTGCTAGAAACTGGTGCTGAGCTGGTACCCAAATTCCACTTTGCACTAAACGCTTCATATGTTTCCCTCAATATTTCGCTGTAATGCAGAACTCACAATATTAATATCAAAATTGCCATCGAGAGCAGCAGCATCTCTCCTCTGTTCATAACCTAAAACATTTCACTTCTCACGCTCTCTCTTCTACGCTTACACACGCTTTATCTGCACTCCAACCTACCTTTACCCCAGGGCAGGGTCTCTCACTACCATCTCTTTTCGCTCATTCATTCTTTCCTGGAATACCAAGGCTAGTGAGACTGGATAACTTCCATGCAAGCAACTGACGTATACCCTCCCCTCACCGTTTTCTTTCTGTCACCATGTTACCCAGAAGCTGGAGATTCAAAGCACTGTCAGTAAAACGACACAACAAATAGACGGAAACGTGGGAGCCGCGATCAGTGTCGCGTTCAAGCTTGCCATCACAATGAACACACAGCCTTGGCGAAGGATGATCCCATCCAGCAGACGTTGCAAAGTATAATAGGAGGAAATAAGACTCACACAATGGTTTTCCATTTCTATTGTGTTCGTGCACAAACATCAGAGCATCTCACCTGCCGCAGTTTCGACATGGCGTCAGACGATATGAACTCCTCTTTCTGGAAGTGGCACACGAAACACATCACTTGGTACTGGCTTTGTCCTCGCTCCTCCTCTCCAAGCACCAGAGCCTTCAATATCTGCACGTCCTGCAACATAAACACAATCCAAGATTATGTAATAATTCGTTGACTCTTCTAGGCACTATTTGAAAAATTCAAGATGTGAGCCTGGATAACGCAGTCGGTACAGCGGAGTTCGAGTAATTTTCTATTCTCCATGTCGTTAGGCCCGGCTCTGGGGTCCACCTAACCTCCTATCCAATGGGTACCGGGGCTCTTCCCCCAGGGGTAAAGCGGCCGAGGCATGAAACTGACCATTCACCTTCAACTAGTGACGAGGTCAAGTATACGTGGGCCTTCATGGAGCAGTGCTTAATTAAGTACTGCTCCATGAAGGCCCACGTATACAAGCAAACTGCTTTCGCTTGCGGATTTATTTTTCCTTCTACCCTGAAGATGGAGGCAATACGTTCCTCCGAAACGTCGGTTAACACATCTACACAGTGCCACATCCCAGAAGACTGCTTTCTTCATAAAATATTCTGATTCGAATACGTTGAAATTCTCGAAGTCAGTACGAACCGTCCAACTTTTTTCGCTGACGAAGAAAGAGGAAATGTTAACCACTCAACGTACAGTCGGCGCCAGTAGTGGTGGTGGCATCACGGTGGTTTAAGCCGCTTAATTCCAGAAACGAACATGTCGCCTGAAGTGGCACTTTCAGCAAAGACCTTACGGGCATTCAAGCATGTATAAAGTTATAAGAACTACCTAGAATCGTGAGCCTTTATCAGAGAATCTTAACAGATGCTAATCACAGGAAAACTCAAACCAATGACAATTTTCCACGACAGCAGCGCTTCTGAATACACTGCCAGCAGTTCGAAGATCAGTTCAGTCGGATTAAGGACGTTTCACGTGCAAACTCCTTCCGTTATTCTTAAATCGTCGTTTAATGCCATAAAAGAAACATATCAAATGGAAACTGAACAACCTAGCTCCCTGAAGCCTGCAACTTATTTTAAAAGTATTCAAAAATTCTGCTCGCAATACAAAAAAAAATTATGCATACACTGTAAAGGCAGTAACACTATGTCTAAGCAAAAACTCAAAGTTTTAAATTTTAAAGCAGGTGCTACACACAGTTAACGCTGTATAAATATTAACGTTGCGGAATCCTGCGAAGAACATACTGTGGCATGTAGACCCGTTGCTAGGCAACGTCAGCGGCATAAACAAAGATACAAAAACCGTTACTAAGTAACGACTCTGCAAACAAGGAAGTTTCCACGGCGACAATTGTATATGGTAAGTGGTGTTCTCTATGCGGTCCGTGCCGAGGTGTTATAAGTAGGACAAGTTGGTGCAGTTAGTGGAGTGATTTAGTGAGACAGCATCCAGGGCTCAGCTGCTGAGCTGTTGCTGTAAGAAGCTGGTAGCTGAGGCCGGGGAGAGATCGGGAACCTAGAATAAGGTGAACGTCAGCAGTTGAAAGCCGCTGCCAAGCAACGGCTAGGGAAGACTGAGAAGAGTTTATGTGTGCTGTGGTTACAGTGATCTTTGGAATGTGTAACTCAGTGAGACTGTTATTTGCAGCTGTGTTCAATAAATTCAATTACCAATCCAAACCCCGTCTATAGTCACATTATAATCGTGATAATAAAATCAGGATTCCGAAACCGGAAGGACGAGAGCCCTTGGATGGCACCGATCTTTCATGCCACAGGGGAAGAAGATAAGAAATATATCCACGAAGTAGGCCTATGAAATTTTATAATCACAGGCGCGCAGAGGAATTTTGCATCATTAATAATCGAAATAGGTTAGGCTATGAAGTAATAGGGAAGAGATACATGCTAACTTAAGCGTAAAGGTAAAGGTAAATGTAAAGCTATCCCTGTAATAGGCCGTGAAGGCCCATATCGTTGTGAGACGTCGAGGCTCCCACATTTTCTCTAGACAATTGATTCACAGATGGCAGTAAGGTTGCTAGCCTTACGCGCCGGCCGCCCTTTACCCCTAAGAAAGATTCCTGGTAGTCATTTCTATTAGAGGCTGAGTGGACCCTAGGGCCATAGTGAGGGTAGAAGGATTAGGTTAATTGAAAAATCCAACTGTCTCATCGGGACTCGAGCCCGCGACCTTCCGGCTTGTGGCATAGTGTCTCAATCAACTTCGATACCGCGTGCTTATAAGCGAAGACTTCACCGTACTCTACAATCACTCGAATTATCTAAAATAAGGCACGTATGGAATTACAGAATCTCACCTTCCCTTTACACATTAGACACACGTTAGCGCTGATGATTACGGACGTTCGCAGGTCACGTGATTCATTCTGCCGATCACGCCATGCGTAAGTTCTTCTCCATTGCATTACGGCCGTTCCTGTACAAATGTCATGTGTCAAACATGTGCTGGGAACGTTTCCTACTTCTGATCGCCTACACGTCTTCTTTACAGGACTATCTACTGCATCTCTGTTTGTTCGACACTCTTCTCAGCGTGTGAGTTGGTAAAACCCACTATTTAATAGCATATTATACCACGGAAATGCAAAAGAGGAATGTATACAAGGTTCTACTGTGTAGGAAAGAGAATAGTAGGAAGACCTAGGCGTAGATAGACTGGATTGGATTGGCCTGGTTCGGGACAAGGGCCAGTGGCGGACTATTGCGTACATGATAATGAAGGTTTGGGTTCCATAAAATATCTGGAAATTTTTAAGTAGCTGAGACACTGGTGGCCTCTCAATAAGAACTCAGCTCCATGGAGTCAATGCCACTATCTCCTCTATTTCTTCGATTGGGCCAGCTGGAGCTGCAGATGAAGAGTGGATGAAGTGGCCTCCTCGCTCTCCCGATCTCACTACATGTTATTCTTTCTGTAAGGTTATGTAAAGGAACAAGTGTGTTTGCGCACCCTCTACCACTGGACATCGATACATCGAAGTTGTGAATTAAAGCAGCTGTCGAGACACTTGACAGGAACATGTCACAAAGAGAATGGGATGAGTTGGATTATAGACTGGATACGTGTCGGCGCACATTCGGCATCTTCAGGGACTAGTTACAGCTGCACAGCTGTAATACTTAACCATGGTATAACAAATTAAAGGTGTATCAATCATTTACGGATACCTGTACACTGTCGTTGCCCAGGGAAACGTTCTCGATCGAACACCATGATATGTATCGGACAGCGGACTTCTTTCACAGCCTGAGTATATTCTCAAGCGGTCTCACTTGCTCCAACAAGCGTGTCTGGAGTCAAAGCGTGGAATATAACGGAATTAATGATAACAAACTGCCAACAGTCACAACGCGATTCTTTGAGCATACATAAAAACATCACTCACAGTCTCATGTTACCATGAGATTCCTGTCTGTTCTAGCCAATACAACTGCCATCTCCGGGCCATTTATCTGCACCCCTAAGCCCGCAAGCGGAAGAGAAATAGAATGCTGATATTTCAACAGCCGAGGGCGTATGGAATCACAACCTATGAATTACAGGAACACGTAAGGCAATCATAAAGAGATTTGCTGTAGTGTTCGCGACCGGCAGACAGGTGTATGCGCAACAAGTGGCTGACTGGGTGGCCCGACCAAGAATCGGTTTCGATACACATGCTGTATCCTCATTCATTCAGTCACAGAAGAAAGTCGGATGTGATTTAGGTTCGGTGTCGGGTGTAGCTGAGTCAGTAAAGTGACTGGCTCCGATCTGCACGACCGGAGTTCGCGTCTTCCCACACAAGAGATACCAGGGATTCTGCCACCGGGATAAAGCGACCGGAGCATTACCTCAGCTCGCGTATATATGTCCTCGGCATGGAGCGTAAGGGGAGCAACACATTTAAACTCGAAGGGTTCTATCTTCTGGTATAATGCCATGTACTTCGAAACCGACGTTTCCGAGAGATACCGCCTCAATCTTAGGTAATAAGAGGAAGCCAAGCAATAAACCAGCATGAATCAGCAAGTACGCGGAGCTTATACTTTCTAAAATAAAACATTCAAGTACGGTATATCCTGATTGCCTACTGGCGGACTGTTATTATTATTATTATTATTATTATTATTATTATTATTATTATTATTGTGGCATACAGACCCGTTGTTAAGCAACAACCGCGAAATAAGCGACTATACAACAGCCGCTGCTAGGTAATGGCTCCGCTAACAAACAAGAACGCAACAATTACACGGCAACAATAGGATACAACAATAATTGGAAATGGTGTCTTCCGCGCCATCCATGATGAGATGTTATAAGCAGAAAAAGTTAGGTGCTGGAATGTTGGTGAGTTAGTGAGTTAGTCACAGAGATATTGTGAGCTGTTGCTGTTTGAAGCTGGTAGCTACACCCGGGGACAGTTCGGGAACCCAGAGAGAGGGGAACGTCCGCCGTTGGAAGTCGCTACGAAGCAACGGCTAGTGAAGTCTGTAGTAGACTGAGAACATTAGTCTGTGTGTGACAGTGATTTGTGACGTGTAGTAACGAGTTGTGTGTTAAAGTGTCCAATAAATCCGATTACCAACTCAAACCCCGTCTATAATCACACTCATAAAAGTGATATTATTATTCTCATCTTGGACTATGCACAGATCAGACAAAGGAGAAGAAAATTCTTTATCTCCTCCGGGACACATGCCGCGCGCCCTATGCAATTCGCCCCCCCCCCCCCGAGTACATCGGCCCAGGCGCGAAGCCGGCCACTTGCCTCCATCTAGCGCGGAGACATACATCCGTTCTCCCGTAAGACTTCACGGTGTGGTCCTTAATGAAGTACAGTGGCATCATTATACTTGATTTTAGCTTCCCAAAGTGACAAAAAATCGCGTGCAGTGCATGTGAAGGCCGCTTCTGTTGGGGAGTGGGACTAATCAATATTCAGAAACTCTAGCACCAAAGCCACTAAACCTCCCTTCTGTGTGAAAGTGAGAATTTTTTCGTGGTAAATAATACAAAGAAAGATCTTGATGGCTAATGATCGTCACTGTTCTCCCCCTGCTTGGAACAAAGGTGGAACTTCGCTAATTACGTAACTCGATTCTTTTGTTCAAGTATAATAAACGTCTCAC